GGGAGGGGAAATAAGGGAAATCCAAGCATTTGTGCACTGTACAGATGGACTCTTATGAGCGCTGATGCCCTTCAGCACTTTGCCTTTGTTAGATCACAGAGACGGGAGCGAACACAGTCCCCTGGCACAGGGGGTGATGGCTGCCACCGGGTCATTCGTTAGCCATGCCGAGCAATTAGAGCTCCTGCACTCTTATGCAATGAGGCTGATTTTCCAGCCCTTGACTTGTGCTGGTGGTTGTTGCCTGCAGAGCCTCCACTTTGTCATTCATTTGTCATCCGCTGCTGTGGGTGAGCAGCTGGACGGGAACGACATCCAGTCACGGCAATGCTCAGAGCAGGGAGCAGCAGTAAACACCTCCCAATTCCTGCCAAAAGCAGCTACCAAAGCCCCCAAACGTCACTCATGGCTCTGCATGCCTCTGGTTACGACCAGCAGATCTCAGGATGCTTTTCGGACATCCTGACCCCAGTCGTCTCCTCTCCCCACACAGCCAGCATCACCTCTTCCCAGACACGCAGCCCGACACGTAGCGATGCGAAGATGCGCACAGCTCGACTGTGTCTGCGTGCCAGGCAATTGGACCCGCCGCTCCTTACTGCTCCTCCAGCCTCGGCCTCACCCGCACGCGTTGCTGGCAAGGACTTTGTTTCCTTGCAGGTCACAGAAAACAGGTGCCACGATGCGACTCATGGGTCCCTCCTGGCCCCACTCCCGTTTGTAGATGACAGTGGGCACTACACGGCATCCACATCTATCGTATTAAGTGGATTAAGAGCTAGCTCACTAGCTCACTTTATCAGGTTTGCTCAAATATGATTAGAAACCTGGGCAGATTTCCTGCTTTGAGCAATCACAAATGGCACGGGGAAGGCAAAGTGAGAGCTTCGGCTTGCACTCTTATCGTGTGTGAAAGGCTGGCTGGAGACCCGATAAAAGGAATTACTGTTTTAACACCAGAAATGAGGAATCGTGGCGAGTTACTGCAACGAGGCACCATACAGCTGACACTGCTGGGGGATTAGATGCGTTAACCGATGCCGGAGAGGCAGCCGAGCCCCCCCCATTAGCCAGCCTGCTCCTCCCCATTACAAAAGGTTACTGAGCCCATCTCCTGGGGAAATGCCTCCGCTCTCACTGCTTACAGCAAACCACCGATATTCAGGAGAGGGAATTCCCTCTGGCTGCTGAAGCGTCTCATCTCTGCCCTGCAAAACACCGCTCGGCTTTTGCTGAGCTAGAGGCCGTTGATAAGGTCGCTTTCCTCTTCCAGTGCTTGAATTCGCTGGGGATGTGCTGGCAGCCTGCCAGACCGATAATGAAATCTGCCAAGACATCAGCATCAGCCGGGGCGGAGGGGCTGCCAGGGCTTGCCCAGCTCATACAGAGGGTTTTCAGACCGCTGGTACCAGGTCTCCTCCTCCTGTCCCCCCAGGAGAGGCTTCAAGCAAGGACTGAGGTGTCTCTGCGCTCCCGCCAACTCCATCCCTCATCCCTGGGCAAGGCAGCAGCATCTTTGCACCTCATCACAGATGGGTTGGATTTAAAATAAAACAAACAAAAAAACCCCCCAAAAAACCCAACAACCAAACAAAACAAAGCCTTGGGCATAGAATTTGCATGTACTGTGTTAAAATAACACCTCGGGGCTGCAAAATTACACATCGCATTGGGAAATGCCAAGCAAGGGCTGCTCACAGCCATTGCCGTATCCAGCGGCATCCCACCTTTTCCCAAAGGATCCTTCAGTGAACAGGACAGACACCAGGTCAGGATGAAAGTTGTGCAGAAAACAGACATTTCCTAACAGTCCCAAGCTTAGTCCTGCACTCTAAATGGCACCAGTGAACGCACGGAGACCTATAAATCATTAACAGATCTAAAGTCCTCCATGGGATGTTACTCCCCAGGCTTCTGTTCCAGGCACTCCGCCCTTTTTCCAAAAGCATCTGGCACCTGCCGCAGGAGGACACAGTGAAAGGCAGGATGGTCCCACGCTCCAGCCTGACCTGACAATAGCTCCTCTGCTTCCTTAGAGAGGATGGCACCGAGGTCCAGAGGGGCACAGGACCCCACACAACCCAGTGGGTCACCCAGCACCTGGGAGAAAACCTGAAAAAAAATCACATTTTCAGAAACAAGGATTTTTCCTTCCAATCAATTGCTTCACATGACACTCTGTAGCTATATCTTTCATTCTCCGTGTTTTATTTTTACAGAGAAAAAAAGAATATGCAGCATAACAAGAAATGGGTAGTGACCTGCATCTTCAGCATCGCGCACACCAGACCAGGATGTGCCCTGGGAAACACATCTTCCTTCCAGGTACGACATAGGTGTTGCTAACACTGCAATTTGCTCTGACGTATGTACTTCATCCATCAAGAAGGAACTGGAACGGGGAGATCTGAGTTATTATCTCCTCATAATGACACCAGAGACGCTTGATGGTCTCTGTACAGCTGCAGAGCTCTCCCTGGGTACGTACTGCTGGCAGGACTCTGCTGGGGATACATCCACACAGGCTCTTGCTGAGCACAAAGGCAGGAGAGATGGTCCTGAACAGGAGATGTGAGTCTGAACTGCACCTGACATGTGATTGACCCTGTCCCCCCTTCAGCTGTGACAACACTCGGTCAACAGGGAGCAAACGGATCAAAGTCAAAATGCATCACCTGCCTGCTCTTCCCTAGCTAAGGCTTACAAGAGGGCTATAAATAAAGCAACTTCTCCCCAAACCCTGCTAAGCCTTTAGTCTTCCTCCAGAGTTTTTCAGGAACAAAGGGAGATGAGCTTCACCTCGACTGCGCAGCAATTTCCACAGCTCCCAGCCCCCACATGGAGCCAGAAAAGGGGGAGCACCTTCCATCTCCAGCAGCCTGGGGGACAAAATCCACCGCTTACTTCCCAACGCATCTGCTCTGAGACCATCAAGACGTACTCACTTGTTCTGCCATTATCCCCGTGCTCATCCCAAGCGCCACACACAGCTCTCCTGTTCTAGGCGGGCATGAGATGGTCTTCAGCAGTTCCCCCTCTGCTCTCCTCCTGGCCGAGGGCTGTCCCAGGCTTTTTCACTGCTTCACCACGCTAACAGATGTATTGTGCCTCTCCACAGGTAGCCACAGCCCAGCTTCAGGCTCTTCTTTAAGCAGCGATATCCAGGGATTGTCCTGTCCAGGGCCTGGAGTTGTTCTTCAGCTTGGCTCAAGCTCTCCATACCCGTCAGCCCAGGAGCTGGGCAGGTCCTGGGAAGGCTGAGAGGAGTTCCAGCAAAGGTGCAGAGGCACCTGGCCATTAGCACTAATCCTCAAGACCTTGAGCACCATCTCCTGGTCATTCCTGGATTCAGTGCCAACTTAACCTCATGCTTCATCTCACCATCACCGCAAAGCCCAAGGGACAATCCGTGTGTGCCACCAAGGAAGAGAAAGGTGGGAACACTTCTACACAGTCATATGCTTGCTGCCCACCCACCAAAAAATTGCCATGCAGAACATTAGCTCCACCAAATCCCTTTCCTGGGGTTACCCCTTGCTGTTCGCTTCTTTTCTCCAAGTTGTAACAGGAGCAATGAACTATCTCACTGGCACAACCGCCTTGGCACGCTGCTGTAGGACCATCTCTGCCTGGTGGCTGGGAGCAGCCAGCACAAGATGCTGCTGGAAAACTCCAATCTGTTCATCTCCCACGCTCCCGTGGCTCTGGGCAGCGTGATAAAATGGGCGCTGCTCGCCGCAGGGTCTCCGGCTGCAGCAGTGATCACTGCTCAGTATGTAAATATCGCAGTGGCAGGGTTCAACCTTTTGGCATGAGGGAAAGGAAGATAAATGTTCCCAGTCCCCTCAGCCACAGGAACCCTGCATCTATCTAATTGCACTTCATAATGGATTCAGCAAACCATTAATTATCAGATTATATTTTAGGAAACTGCTGATAAAAAAGCTTTATGAAATTTAGCCTTAAAGGGGCCAGTGTGCTGCAACAAAGCTGGCACCACAGAAGCCAACTTTACAGGAGGTATCTGAATGCACTTTACAAAGCAATGCCCTTGTGCCATGGAGAATGTCACAACAGCTATTGCACACTCAGACAGAAATACCTTCATCAGTGCCAATCCACTGGTACCAGTAACAAGGGGCCCTGGCACGCAGGCACAGCTCCTTCTCCTTTCTCAGATGGAGCAGCTTCAGCTCATCCTCGGTGAATTAGAGGAGGGGTGGGAGATCTTGGAGCAGTTCGCTCACAAAGAGCACATGGATGCCCAGAACTGCCTGTGACCCTTCTTCGTAACGGACAACGGCAGCAAAAACGTGGAGGGGATCAGACCTGTGCTGCACAAGGTATTACTGAAACAGCTCCAAAGCCGTTTAGCACAACTCCCAAGTCTCTGCTTCAGCAGAGAGCCCCAAATGTCAGCCCTGCACTGGAGGACTTTTCTAGCTGGCACAACAAGCAGCACAATGGTACAGGGGAGAGCAACAGAGGAAACAAAGCAGCCCTTACGCACCCTGCCGAGTAGCAGATACTCACAAGAATATCACCGATTCAGCCACAAAAGTCTCCACCCTGAATTCTCAGGACAGCTTTTTCTTTGGTTTCACATACCCAAACCATCCCAACCTTGTCCTGCACTAGTCTCCTCCTCTCCACTCCGTTCACAGCAGCAGAGGAACACATGTGAACACACCCAGTTCCCATCTTTTCCTCTGCTGCTTTATTTCTCTTGAGCCAGGAGGGATGAGTGGTGCAGCTCACCTGAGCTGGCAACTGCTGACTGCAGGGAGATTTCCCAGGCCCTTTGTGAATGTCTACAAACCTCTCCTGTCCCTGGCCATGCTGTGCTTGCTGCATGACAGTTCTTTGTCAGCGTTGCATACCCAGGGCTGCTTTCCCAAAGAAACCCCGAATCTCCCTGCTGGAGCAGCACGTCAAGGTACAGATCCTGAACGAGTCTAGTGGGTACCAGGCACCCCTGCCTGGGCACCTGCCGGTCACTCTCACTTGGTTTCTTCACAAATCAGAGTGACTTTGTCATCAAATAAGTCCTCCATGGTCACTGCCACCAGCTCGGAGCCAGCTTGGCTCATTTGGGACTCAGGTAACGTCACAAAGACTTGTGAGCCAGCAAGTTGGGCCTCATCAAAAGAGATGACGTGTTCTGCTGCCCCTTGCTCCGACGTCTGAATCACCTGCGTGGTAGATGACCTGAGAGTCAGACACTTACAGCACCGCTTCCCCCACAATCACACCTGCCCACACCTTTCCCAGCCCCAGCTCCAGTAATAACATTTAGCTTCACGCCAGAAGTCTGCAATTACAACAGGCGTGAAACTAATGGGAAACACCAAACCACACACACCCATGATGCAAAAGAGAAGACAGGAGAATAATTTAAATATTTCTCTCCACAAAATTGCTATAATTTAGCTCCACAAGCAGTTGTAGACAATAAACGCTCTGTGATTACCCACTGGAGGAATGCCAGCCCAGGGAATCTTGCACACTTGGCTCCCTCATCCAAGGAGCTGTTCTGCACTGATGGCCAAGATACTGAAGACAAAGAGTCTGGGTTCAAGCCTAGCATTTGGCCTCCAGCAAAACACCTATAATCTCATGGGGGTATGTCACCTGGGTTTTTATAGCCTCTGAGTAACCAGGCACCTGTGCACACTCTGTCAGACCCTCCCTCCTCGGCTCCTGAAAACCAGGACTGAGCTGCTTCCCCTGCAGTGAGCCTGCCTCCCACCAGCACTGAAATCCCAGAGCACTGTGGGCTGGGGGGCTTGCATCCTGGACCCCTCTAAGGAGGAGGAATCAGGGAGCAGAAGGGGTGACAGGAGCTGCAGGGTGGATTTGGGAAGAATAAGAGGGCTGGAGGGGGAGGATGAACGAACAGCCGCAGGGGCTGCAGCACAAACCAATCTTTACCTGCACAATCTGAGTTGTTGTGGCTTGGGAGAAGACCACCTTGGGATGCTCAGTGCTGTAGTGCCCCTCCAGCTCGCACTGGGAGGGGAAGAGCTCCCCACAGAGCTCGCAGGTGAAGGTGCTCTCCGTCTGCTTGAAGTGCTCGGTGGTGACATGGTTTTGCAGGGCCCCTGGGAAGCGGAAGGATGCTGAGCAGTACAAGCAGCGAAACGGCTGGGAGCCTGTGGGGAGAAGCACTGCCTTGAGCCAGGGCTGCAATGGCCAGGGCCAGCCCAAGGGCGCAGGGAGCTGCAAATGGCCAGGACCCACCAGGGACTTGGGGCACAGTGCATGCCAGTGTCCTTGTCCTGGCTACACCACTGTCTGTCCAACAGTTTCTGGCTGTCCAGGTCCATTTTAGCTCCAGCTCCCAGCAGCACTGGTGTTCAGAAACCAGGCTGGTGTATCTGATTGCAGCTGCAGGTGTCCCTTCTCACAAACACCTCTTCTCCCTGTTCCCTTGCACCATCCATCACCGCTCCTTGTTGGCCTGGCTTGCACCTCCTGATTCAGCTATTATCCACCCCTTATCCATCCCAGGGGCTCCCTCCTCTTAGACAGAGCTACGTCTAGGTCTTTTCCTTCCTCACTCTCCAGGCTGCTGCTGGCTGCCCCCTCCAACCTCTGCTGCTCCATCTCCTCTCCTGCTAACCCACACACAGCACTGGGGACCTACCTTTCACAGCAGTCTCGTCTGCCAGTTCACCCTGCCCACTTGCCAAAAGGCCCCTGATGTGGTCTCCACAAGCCTAGGTCCCTCTCTGATCTTTCTGCTGCTAAACAACCTTTTTCTCCAGTCTCCCACTAGCTCTGCCCTCCACAAAGCCCCATGCTCAGGGTTCAGTTCTTTGTTTCTCTGTGCTGATGTCTCCTCAACTGCACTTATCTCTCTGCTGTAACACGCAAATCCAGATCCCTCCTTGATGCCACTGGCTCCAGAAGCTTAACAAACCTGTCCCAGCCTCACCAAAACCAGTGCTTTTCCAGTTCATCCATATTTTCTGTTTCCTCACACTCTGCTTCCTTACCATGTCCATCTTCACTCTCCCACTAACACCTTAGGCATCACTCCCTGCGAGGAGCAGTCATTGCTCACAATGTTAACACAAACAACAGCAAATGCAACAGACCTGAGTGCCTGCACTTCACGTGGACCTGCAGGAGAGCCAGCGTGGGGAAGAGCTCCTTGCACGTCTCACACTCATGCAACTTCACATCTGCAAACAAAGCCAAGAACAGAAAAGTGTGCACTGTTTTTTTTGCACTACAAGTGACTTGACAAGTGTTGTCTTCCACAAGCGACCTTCTGGACCAGAGCTCTGCAACACCACACATGCATACAGACATGAGGAGCATCTTTGGAGACAAGTCCAGAAAAGTAGAGGCCAAGAGCAAGGGAGCTGCAAGACACTGAGATGAGACTTGCCAAAAGAGACTGTTACAGGATACAAAGAATCTCTGTGATTTGCAGGCAAATGGGACGCGCAACCTTGTCCTATCAGAGTTATTACTCTCCCAGCCTTTGCCACGTGTTTTTGTTCACTAACGAACGGGCCGTTACCTGTGTGCTCTGCCTTGACGTGCTTTCGGTGAGCAGCAGTGCTGGAGAAGGTTTTGTCACAGGAGCTGCACTGCAGGGAGGAGAACTTGGAGGAGCGGTGATTCTGAGCTGCAAAGACATCAGGGTGGTGGGTCCGGTTGTGATACCATAACCCTGACAACTGCTGCAATGATAAGGATCAAACCATGGTTACGATACAAAGCCGTTCCAGGGATATCGTGACACCAAGAAACCACGTGGAAAGCAACAGGAATGGGGGGTGTGCTCAGCAGGTATGAGACCTGCTCATCCTCCCACGGGACAACAGCTAACCCCTCACTTCTGTGTCTCCATTGCCCCTGAAGAGCTGAACGCTGATGGATCCCTCATCCTCATTTCACTCCCTGCAGGTCTCCTTTTGGCGTTAATTTTTGTTCCCTTGCAGGAATGTGCTCCTACACACACTCCCACTGAGGCATGCCGTTTGCAGCCCAAGTATTTTTACTCCTATGCTTCCTGGCAGCTTGGGTGAAAGAGATTCCTGAGGGTCCAGAGGGGCAGGTACGTAGCCCTTTGCAGTCACATCCCATCTCTCTCCATGGACCTTTCCCTATGGGCGACACCTCCTCTGTGCAATTTTTTCTGGTGCCCACAAACTGCTGCACTCAATGTACGTGGACAGGAGAGACATCCTGGTGCAGGAGCAGGCAACCTCCAGCACACGAGACCAAATCTTTGCTGCACCAGCTCACCTGGTAAGCTTTGTTACAGATCTCACAGCTAAAAGGCTTTCCTCCAACATGGGTCACCATGTGGCGCTCCAGGAGCGACGGGGCGCTGAAGACTTTAGAGCAGGACGGGCAGGGGTGGTACTCCCGGGAATGCACTTCGTGGATGTGCTTGCGGTGCTCCTGCAGGGTGGCAAAGCTCATCCGGCACTTCTTGCAGTCATAGGGATCTTCAATGTCTGCCGCCCAGCAACGCAACAAAAACCACAGGAAAAAGCAAGGAAAAAAAGAAGAAAATTATTAAGAGAGGAATTTACAGAGGGAGGAAAGAAAAGGGAAAGAAATCCTTGTTACTTCACAGATGAAAACTAGCATGGGAGTTTTGGCTTTGCAGACAGATGTTGCTGCTCCTGCTCACCTACAGCTTCCCGTGGTGGGTCCCCAGCAGCTTGCAGTTTGCTGGAAGCCACCGCTGCCATTTTCTTTGTGATACTCATAGCATCAAACCATTAAAGAGTCTTGCTTTTATTGGGAGGGAAAAATCCCACCATGAGATGAGCAGCCAGCCTGCAGACACCAGTAACACCCACACAAGCCTCCGCTGGCACAGAGGGGTCTGCCATGACCCCGCAGAAGCCATGCCTCGCAGGCTGGGCTGCCCAGGCCAGGGAGGCAGTTGGCCATACTCACTGTGGAAGGTCCGGAGGTGGATGGAGAGCCCGTTGGCCTGGCGAAAGCCTTTCCCACACTCCCGGCAGACATAAGGCTTGTCCCCCGTGTGCGTCCGGACGTGGCGTGACAGCTCGATGGACTGGGCGAACACAGCGTCACAGTACTGGCAGGGGGCACATTCCCTGCAGGGACACCGGGGTGCAGGTGAGAGCCTGCACCTACTGGGACGGGAGCTCTGCCTGGGCTACGCCTAATTTCAGAGGGAGAGGGGAGAGACTGTAAACTGGACAGGCTTTCCTGGGGTAGCCAGAGTATCTCAGCGCAGGGTCAAAAAGGTTCTAGAGGTGCTGGAGAAAACCACACCTGCACAGGCAGTATACAATTCCTACAGACCTCAAGTATCTGGAGGTACTACACTCTTCTGTGTGGCCCCGGACAAACTCGAGAAGCGGCCCATGGGAACCTCATGAAGTTCAACGAGGCAAAGTGCAAGGTCCTGCAGCTGGCTTGGGGCAACCCCCGGTATCAAGACAGGCTGAGGGACGAAGGGATTGAAAGCAGCCCTGAGGAGAAGGACTTGGGGGTGCTGGGGGATGAGAAGCTGAACCGGCA